CAGAGCCGTCCTGGCAGAGTGAGTTACGCTGGGGGCGGGAAACACGTCTGCTTAACGCAGCAGGCCGTGGACATGGAGGGTGTGCTGGCGATTTGGCATGTCCGCGAGAATAGTCACTCTGGGAAGGGAAATACAGCTTGTTACTCTCACCAGCGTTACCGCTGTACACCATCCTGCTGCAGCCCTCAGCTGAGTGCTGTCGGGCTGTGAAAGTATGTCTTTTCCCTGAAGCCGTTTGTCACACGTTTTTAAATGCCAGGATTTAAAGTGACATAACTGCAAGCCGTTCTTCCTCACCACTGATTCCAGAGGATGTTTCTGTACGCCCCTAGCTTTATGCTCTCTCCTGGCAAGAGGGAGGTACAAGTAGCTGCTGTTTCTGCTGTGAACAGGTCTTGGAGGTTGATGATGATTCTCCTAGTGCGCATCCCAAAAGTCCCAGTACCAGGCTGGTGTCCCTCCAGATTATTTGATGGCAGATGTCAAAATCTCAGCTCTCTCTCCTTGCACCAAAACTAGCACAAAGAATACGCACAAATAGACCAGGAGGAAGAAGTCCCTTACGAGAGGGATCTGGGAAGAGAATCTCCCCACTGGATCTGGAGTCCAAGCACTCGCTTTCTTCAGAGCGTGCTCCTTTGCAACCCCAGTGTGAGCCTCCAGCTCTCATCGAATTAACTGTCCGGTGGACGGGTGCTTCCAGTGCAAGTTACTTGCTTCCTCAGAAGAACAGAGGCACCCATCTTCGTGACACGAGCTGCGAAGTTCTCTCGTTAAAATCCTCTGCCCATCATCAGTCCTACCAGCTCGGCAGACGACAGCAACACAGCCTTGGGTACTGTTTTTCATCCAACATTCCGTCTTGTCATCTCTCTTACTACTCTTAGTCAGAAATACGTGGACTTCTTTAGGCATACGTAACTGAGAGGAGATGTAGAAAAATTTACACTGGAAGCTGAGACTTTTTGGGAAGGAAAGCCCATGAAAGGATATGTATTATTAAAAGTTATGCATACACACCACAGGTTTTGGGTTTGTTAGCATAAATTTCCATTTTCTATGAAGACTAGACTCCTTGCTAGCATTTCATCAGAGGAAAAGAAATATTTTGTCAGGTTTGTAGTGCGTTAAACACAAGGAAAGAAACAGGTTCACAGTGTAAAATCTTCAGTAGTAACTCCGGTTCCGTTGGTATATTTTTCTTTACCAAATCCTCTGTAGCGTATACAAAAACAGCAGAATAAGTAACAGCCCTGAAGTATCACTTCAGGAGAACAGTCATTTCATCTGCTTTAACATCATCATTTAAACAGTCTGCAGTAAGAACCGAAAAGCCAGAGTAACACAGAATCAAATACTTGGGACACTGAAACAATCTTATTTCCTTCGGTAATATTCAGTAAGAAACACTTATAAAAACACATTTCTCATAATTAAGATAGTTTTTAATATATGGACTGGTGCTGTAAGTAGTCTAAAATGGAGGTTCTTCACCGAGTAATTTTCACTGGACTTTTTATACCGCTGAAAAAAATCTGTCAAGGGGCATAAAACTCCTGACCAGCAAACATCGCCATGGATAAACCTCCTTGAAGCAGCCGTTGTTCCTTACAGCGCAATACATCGTCGTCAGTGGCTCGTTGCTCAAGCACACACCTCACTACCAGAGTAAGCATCTCAGGAAGCTGGCGCCGTCACGTTTGCGTGCCAGTTCCCGACCGCCTGCGCAGGTGACCCAGGCAGCTGGGAAGGTTTCGAGTCGGCAGCTGATGGCAACGTCAACGGATGGGCGTACGCACCGCTCCATGTAGCAGGCTTAACAAGTCAGAATGGGCCTGTTGCAAAGCAATTAGTACTGCTGCATGTTCAGATGTTTTTCCCCCAACATTTAGTTATTGTGACATATACCAAGGCTTTCAGTTCACGGACATACGAGGTCTTAACTGACAGACTGTGCTGTCACAGGTTATACCACTGCTATACGCTTCAGCCGTAGCCACGCGACAGACCTGGGGCAGCAGCGGGGATGGGCACGGCACCCATCAGCGCCACGCTGCACAGACAAGCAGACAGCCAGCTGCAAGTGCCATGGTACAGGGGGAACCCTGAACCCCTCCTCTCTGCAGAAACGCACTTGCCGTGGTGCCAGCGAGCCGCCCTGACGCCAGGACCCAGGAACGCGCTGCCCACGTCACTCGCTGGCACAGTAACGCTGGCCGTGCTCCTGGGGTTCCCGCAGCTTCCGTCCAACTTCTACTTCCCTCTCTTTTCTTTTGTTTCATTCCTTTCAGCTGTTGTGGTTGCACAGCTCCTTTATTTTTTTCATCTTCAAAGCAGCATCCCACATGTTTTCACAAAAGAAGTATTCAAAACGGTCATTTAAAAAAAGTTTATTACATCAGTGAATCAGCAAATAAGTGTTTATTTCCAACAAAGCCACATTTTTTTTTCACCTAGATTTAGCTGTACTCAACAGTAGCAAAAATGGGACTAGAAAATGTAGAATGGAGATGAAATGAAAAAGTTGAGATGTAATCTGAGCACTATTCAAATAGAATGCACTTTCAGCTCTTCTACCCAAAATGCAGCCAATTAGTGTAGATTTACACCTTATGTTTTCATATCAGTATGTTATAGAATGCAAATATTTTATACCCAAATAAGAACCTCCTACAAGTTAGCAATATCTTTAATTGCATAATGTACATTCCGTCACTGAACTTGAAATAATTTAGCCTCCCTTTATAGAAAAGGTGACCTTAAGGGGATTTACGGAAATGGCAATCCAATGCACTATGTGGCATGAGTAATGGAAATGCTCACACTTTCTATCTACTGGTACTTCAACCCACCAGATGGTTTTCCAGTTTTATAATAAATACTCAGTCCAGCCTCAAAATAATGAAGTTTTAGAATCCCTCATTAAGTTTAACCAAAAGTAGAAAAATTCTACTGGAGCATCATGTAGTCTTGAGATGCATTTCAATGCTTTTTTTTTTTTTTAAAAAAAGTTTTAAAAGTTCTAACAATTTGTGAATCTAGCTAAGTATTCTCCACTAACGGTCTTTGCAACTTTCAAATCCATGAGCTTACTTCAAGAAAGCAGTCAGACAGGTGGAAATCTTAAATCAATCCAGAATATGAACAGACAGCAAGTTTCCTTGGCTTTTAATTTCTTCATTAGTTTAAGATCCAAGGAACTGTGGGTTTTGTTTGCTTGGTAGGAAAAAAAAAAAAGTTACTTTTAAACTCTGATTTACCAAAAAAATAAAAGCCCAGAGATTTGCAGACATAATAAAATTTATTTAAATTCCATGCATTACGGTAGCTACAAGTGTAGTCATATGAAACTGAAGGACAATAACTTCTTCTGTCCATACAATGTAGCTGTAAGTGAAATGAATGGGAGTTCCACAGTTACAAAGAAACAAACAAAACAAAAACCCAAAAAATGGTAAATCTGTTTCAGTTTTGAGTTATCTGTGAATTCAGACACAGTCACTAGACTGTAAACTTTTGGGGGAGGAGATGGGCTCGCCACAATTGTACAACTGACAATGTTTAGTCTGAGACCTTCTGAAGAAGCTCCGTTGACACTTACTGCTAATACTCTGGGAAATGAAAAAACACCCATTAGCCGTCATCCCAATTGTTGGAATCAGGACAGCAACGGTAGACAGACCATTCTCAAAGTGCAGCTAAACAGGGTTTTGTTATGCAGCTCCTTCAAGTTGTACTGTGTAAGCTTTATTCTGAACCAGTTTTAATTCCTCAAGAAAAACCCTCAAGAAAAATTCCTCAAAAAACTTGACTGGCCTCATAAGCTTACACTGCTTTTCGATATGCAAAAATTTACAGACTGTGCTTGATTCTGACCCTCCCATATTTCGGTATGTGCAAACTCTTAGGGGTTTAAATAGTCTTTCTCCCTCTCAGTTCAGACTGATCTTTAGAACAGCAGGGATGGCCCAGCCCTCTAAATTAAAGACAGGGTGAACTGAGCACCTTACAACTGGCACTTTTTAATTGGCCCAGTTCTCCCACAAAATGCAGCTCTTATAAATACTAATAGGCACTATTGCCACAAATTCTCTTCTTTTTGCAAGTTTCACTGATTTACTGGTTGTTAGCATTTTCTGCAGTTAGGAATTTGATAATGCTGAATTTTTATAAAGACACAATATGCAGTTCTAGCCTTCAAAATCGACTTACTGTGTCTAGTAACGATGTTAAGTCAATGCTGAAGATATTAACAAATGTAAAGCTAATGAAGGTGCCACATCTGCATGAAAGTTGTTTTACTTTTAAGAATGCATTCAACAAAGGGAAGGGGCAAACCTAATTATTTTAATACAAACTTGGTCGAGTGCCCAATTGCCTCACTTAAAACTGTGTGTGTGGGGAGGCCGAGGAGTTTAGAAAAGTCCCAGTAACCAAATATCCAGGCTACCGGGCAGTTAAAAAGCTAATGCAACTGCGTTACATCCGGATAAAAAACATTATTCAAAAGCAATTCAAATACCGAAAAAGATTTCAAATTGAATAGTTTATTAACATGGTAGTCATCTTTTTAACATGTGCACACACACTCGCACAGTCTGAATGATCTGCCTGGAAAAAAGAGGTCTTAATATATATGCTGGGGGAAATTAAACATTAAAAATCCTTTAGATTTTCATAATTATAGGCAATTATGTCCACATCACTTACAAAGCTATTGCCGATTCTTTCCAAGGAAGCAGAATTTGGGAGAAAAAAAAAATTCTTTTTGGGAAAATTCAACAGTGGCATAGCAGAGCTCTCAATATGAGAAAGCTGACGTAATGTGGACCTTTGCTGTGAAATTTGTCTTTGCAAAATATGGGGAGAAGTTTCTCAATGGGCAGAAAATAAGAAGGCGGTGTGAAGTAGGCTTTTGCAGAGTCGATTCTCCTCACAGTATTGTGCGGGGGTCATTGAGAAAAACGCTTAGTCCTTCTCTGGAACCAGTTTCAGAACTTTTCCAATTGCAATGGTCTTACCTAAACCAAGCAGACAGACAGCGGAGTTACACGTATTGCGAGAAGAATGCGTGAGCCTCCAAGAATATGAGAACTTTCCCAAAAATACAGGCTCTCCAGACCATTAGAAACAATACAGAGAACGCACTGCTGTACTGCGGAACGAAAGCACCAGTGTGTTGTAAAAGCACAATAACATCTTAAAAACAGCAAAACCGCTATTCTCACAGTAAAGAGCACAATGCGGATTGTGGAGAGCCTGCTCTACATTTGTCTAAGGAGAAGGCACGGCAGAATAACTTCTACCAGATCTGTTTACTGCTCCTAAAGAGAACTTATTTTAAAGACCTCCCTCAAATCTACGTGTTTTACCAGGGCGAGCACGAGTTGAAGCCCAAGATACAACCACCCACATCTTTTCAAACTTTAAATACAGAAACCATGGTATTCATACTGGAGGTGGACATTCCATTAAGAAAACAGTGCTGGTCATTTTTCAGATTCAACCTTTTGTTTCACAGTGCACATTTTTGTACGTTATTTCCCCGAAATAAACCACCGCGTTTGTTACTAGCAAGAACTCTTCACAATGACAACAGTTTGCTTCGATTCACTTTTCCATTGTTACCCAGATGGTGATTTCCACTGGATACCAGCATTCTAATACCTCATTGCCACGCACAACCCCCTATTTCAAATACCTGTATTTCTGCAGCAGTTAGTAACTGTTGATCAAGCAGTCTTACCCTCATCTCTCAAGGTAAAGCGACCCATCTGAGGGAAATCTTTGAACGTCTCAAGGCAGATGGTTCCTGCTGTCCTTAAACGGGCAATGCATACTTGATCTTGTTTCACAAAACGGGGCCGTGTCTTACTTTTTTCTCCTGTTTTTTTGTCTACCAAGCAGATTAAGGCCTGTATAAGAAAAAAAAAATAATAGCTGTGAGTGCTAAAACAAAGGTTATTTTTTCTTTACAAACAAAACTGAAGTGGTCTAAGAAAGCAAATACTTTGAAATAAATAAAAAACCCTCCCAGCTGCTAAGATTCAGTGCACGAGAGAGTCAATCGCGACTTACAGATCTCTTCAGCAAGCTTATGCTAACAGTGACCGCACTGACCCAGGGTTCGTCAGCTGCTCTACAGAGGTACGTCAGGACAGAACTCCTCACCTCGACAAGTGGGTTGTCTATGTTCACACCACAGCTCAACAGCACACTTACTGTTATCTCAACTTCTTCAATGCAGGTGTGGATGTGCAGCACAGCATTATAACCTGGGCAGATAATGGATTTGTGCTCAATTATCACTATCTGCAAAACAATTAAAAATAAGTGCATTTTTCCTCATTTCAATTATAAAAGAGCAAAGAATAACCAATTACAGAACTGTATTAAAATTCATAGTTGAACAATACACACACAACAAATTTTTGTGAATGAGACAAAATTTGTGATTAAGTTGTTTATAATATGAAAGTATAAAATTGAAGAATGGCCCGACAAGATCTTGCTTTCACGATTACAGGTATCTAAAACAACCTTGAGAAGCCATGTTCAAAACCTCAAATTAACGACGTCAGAGTGTTAGGTGTGTATGTTATTGTCAATATAGACATATGATAGTGAATAAGAAATCTGAACTGAACCTTCAAACCACTGAAGTTCAGATTTGGTGAAACACAAGCAAAATATTTCAATGCTTTTTACCCATCTATACAGCAATTAAATGCTAGTTATTCTACCTGGGCATCAAATGTGCGTCCAGAATGACACAGGTTGTTGGGGTCACAGAGAATAAATCCTGGAAGGATCTCTTCCTCTTCAATTCCCTTCAGTCTGATCTTTAGATTTTCACCTGGGGCTACCGAATCAGTTTCTACATCATCAGAAAGGATTCCAAGAACTTCCACGTTGTGCTTAAAGAAAGCAAAAATGCAGTTTTCTATTGTGAATATTTTAGTCTGGTATAAAAGCATTTTAATACAACAGGATTTCAATAAATTCCATTAGAGTTTAAATTCATTATAGGCAGTTCTGCAAGCTTCAGAACATTTAAAGTATTGGAATGATGAGTTACTAATAGTTAAAAGAGCATATCTTGTCAAGTATCTTTTAATGTAATTCTATAGTATATATTCAATGGAACACAAATTTCAAAAAAATCCACTATTTCTCAAAGTGAAATGAGGTTAAAACTTCTAAAGAGATGAGCAATACAATGGATGCGTATTATCCAAGAAGAATACAAAAGCCACATTGTGTATAGACTCATTGCTTTCAAAGTATAACAGTCTGAATATTAACGCAATCCAGGAAATGCTAGAATCCCCAAGTTCTACAAGATTTTCTGGAGAAGATGATAAAAATACCAAATGTGTGTTAATGAATGCTCTCCAGGCAAACACCAAAATGTATCTCCTAACGTTCCTGTATGTTGTAACCCCTCTTCTGATTTTTCCATCTTTACACAGTAACTAGATACCAACAGAAAATAAATATTTGAAAGGCAGAAAAGTTTAAAAAGGAGCAGTTTCAGAAAGAGGTCTATTGTTCTGTTAGTTTTTTTTCTGTTCTGAAGTTTTAGTTCAATCCTCGTTAGCTGGCAAAGTAACTGGAAATACAAACTTTCAGTAAGCTGTAGATTTATTGTACATTTTGGTATTGAGACATTTCCTAGCAAGCTACCTCAGCCTACACAATTAGAAAAAGTGGGTCAGCTTAAATCAAAGTGACATGAATAGATAAAAATAAAATTTCTGAACTGTTTTTGTAAGAAACCAATGGAAACACACCCCGCCACTAGCTGAGTACACTATGCTCATCCGCTGCCTCTCCCCAGCTATGTTTTCATGTCCTTCAGTTTTATATTTTCTCATTCTTCAGGGCAGCAGAATGGCTCCAAAGTGACCTTACATTATGGAACAGCTACCTACCTGCACAATCAACCTATTCTTAACTAAAGCAAACGTTAGCTCTTTCGCTGCAACACACCGTGTACTGTTCGCATCCTTTAAGTTTTTTCCGATTTCCCTTTGGAGAAGGGAAAAGGAAAAAAAAAGGAAAAAAAGAAGGAAGATTTTGAGCAGTATTAACCCACATCAGGAAAAAAGTTCCGTGGGCCTACTGTATAAATGCAAAGTAAAACACAGTTCAAATAAACTATGATGATTTGTAGCCCAGCAACTGAGTTTACTATGGACGGACAACCCGAGTTGCGAGTGCTAAGGAAGCAAACTACCCCCCCCCACACACACCCTGGAAACATCACCCATGTAAAACATGGAAGCTTAGTTGTGTTCAACTGAGCAGTAGAGAATTTTCTCATTTGAAATAATGAGTATCTTCAAGAATCAAGCTCTTTTTTAGGGTAGTTACTTTTTTTTTTTTTTTTTTTTTTTTTGTATCTAAACCTTACCATACCTTGTTTGGCATCATCACAAGCTGTTGTCCTTTGCAAATAGAGCCCGACTCCAGCTTCCCAAGGACCACAGTGCCCATATCCTTCACAAAAAGAAATTATTACATAAAAATTGAAAACATTTTTCTGAAGGGTCTGCTCTATTTATGATTCAACTCTAAGTATGACGACTCAAGCCTATCAAGTTACTTAGCACTGCTACACTTAATGTTTTGGAAACTGTTCTGATGAAAGATTACAGATTTTAAGAGTCTCATGTAATGCCGAAATTACTTACTTCCCCTCCCCACCTCTATTCTACAGTTGGAAATGTAGACATATCAAAGAAAAAAAGATATGCTCTAAAAATACAGTAAATAGTCCATTTACTGCTTTCTGGAAACAGTCCATTTATACTTTCAATCCTATTATTCTAATTTGTACCTTATATTTATCCACAATTGGCAGCCTGATTGGTCCATCAACTGACCGGTTGAAGTTTGGCAAATTATCCAGGTATGGAATAAATGGTAATCCACTAAAAGAGCAGAAGGCATTTGTTTCAATTTCGTGAGCACCCTTCTATTTAAAAGTTACTTAGAATTGATAAATGCAGTCCAACAAAAGGAAGGATTTTCCTTCCGTCATCATTAAGAACAGTGACCTCTAAGACAGTCAAATCTTTATCGTAACATCCCGTCATTAGTGTCCGTTTTACTCCAGCTAACACATTAATACCCAGGAAGTGCACAGAGTTTTTAAGCTACGTTACAGGCATATTTTGCACAAGTTAGCTATTCCTTTGAGAGTCTTGCTAGAAGTGCAATACGTTTTGGAAATACAAAATCAGAAGCTAGGTCCAAACATGATTTTCATTAATGTGTTTTAACTGCCATGAACAATACTGGAAAACGTGACATCCACTGAGGGACAGGGCTTGTCACTAATTGCAACACAGCTTCAAGCATGCTGTTCCCATCAAACAACTACTCACTCTAGCAACGTCAACTGCAGCAGCACTGGACACAAGGGCTCGTATGGCACTCAAACTCACAAAGCCAAAGAATTCTCCTGGTACCGTTACGGAGTCTGCTAACGTTAATCCTCTGTAGCTAGAAAACGCTTTTACTTGGCTCACTGCATGGATGTGTCCCTGCTGCCCTGACTGTATTTCCTCAAGCACGTTAGAACACAGCCACAATCTACCACGCTATACTTCCTCCTAGCCTCACTGTAGCATTTATGTGTACTGAAATACAGAAGATATGCAAGTAGGTCAATTTAAGATACATACATGTACCAAGGACAGAATTCTGACTGTTCTTTAAGGTTTGCTCCAGTCAGTCCTGAGCAGGGCATGAAATGAATATCCTTCTTGGGATTGAAACCAACTTTCTTCAAAAATGGCACCAGTTTCTCTTTACATTCCTCATATCTATTAAAACGAAAAGTAGATCAAGGTAAGTTTTAATTATTCCACCATGACATAATACCGTGCTTTAAAAAAAACAACAAGAAGCCCACAGACATTTAATTTTCATCAGTTATTCTGTGAGCAGCAAGCAAACCTAATAAAGCTCTGTGGCCCATCTGCAGCTTCTCCCCAATCTTCCACACAACTTGGTATCATCTGTTCCCCCTCGCTACTCTGCTCCGTAAAGCATCAACAGTTTTCTCCGTGCACCTCAATTACTGGGCTGGGTAAGCAGCAGCATCTGCTGTATCTGCTTTCAGAGCAAGAGATCCAGGCCAAGAGAGCAGGACGGCCCAAGCAGACAGCTGCTGAGGTCATGCTGCAGGCGTTCGCTTGAGCGGTGGTTTGGTCTCCTCCAAAGACCTAATGCTATTTGTTTCTGTTACACTTCTTCCCCCGGTGCCAGCTGAACTCAGTAACGTCAGCAGGTCGGGGCAGGACCAAGACAGCACCCTCGGGCATGCCTTATTCTCTGAGTAAACTAGGCTGGCGTTGTAAGGCCGCATAGTCCCTCACAGCTTTCCACACAAACTTTCACTATTCTTGCCAGCACAGCAAGTTTTCCGACAACTCTTCTTATTATGCTGTAGAAAACCACATCCCCTCATTACTAAAGTATCTCTAGGGAAGGCTAAGTTACACTTTTTAGCATCCAGCTTAAAAGGAGCGAGAAGACAGACGTGACAGAAGCCATAAAAAGACCTAAGTTTTGACACTTAGGAAAATTAAAACGCTTCAGTAACATTCGAGCTTTAAGGCAGAAAATAACAACTTTATCCTTTATATTTGTTATTTAAATACTACATATTGACTTTCTAGTTATTTTTATCTAGCCTATCTCCTTGCAAGATTCCCTCCCTCCTTGGACCATAATCATGAACCACTTTAATACATTATTTACTTCTTCAATTCAGCTTATCATAAAAGTGCAACTCCAAATAATACAGGGCGAACACCTAAGTGAACAGGATAATGCTGTTCTCACCAAATCTGAGCTAGCAGTTGCGCAGAAACGTATCCAAGCAATCAAGAACCTGGCAAACTAAATGACCGAGAACAGTCGCTTGCTTTCAGGTTCAGTGCAAAGTTTCCAAGTCAGCAATTAAGCTATGTTAGAATGCACCAATTTGCTAGATATGGCTGCACGGATCCAAACAGCTGAAAGCGACTGTTTTACAGGTTTAGATCCCTGTTTTAGTGTGGAACTTCCAGCTTCGTGGAGAGGCACTGTCCTAGGCACTGTGCTTGTGTTTTTCCTGCAATTTTGGTAACTTCTATCTTTAGTCCACCAGTCTACCATTCTTTCAGCAAAAACAGAATGCAAAAAACTATTTTAGTTAGGAATTCTTTTACTTCAGTATCTTTAAATCAAGACTGATTTTTAAAAATATTAAACTCACCTTTCATTACTCCAGTTTACAGTTGGATCATCCATTTTATTAATAAGAACTATTAAATGTTTTACACCTGCTGTTTTTGCTAACATGGCATGTTCTCTTGTTTGTCCACCTTTCTCAAATCCAGTTTCAAACTCTCCTTTTCTTGCAGAAATAACCTAATTAAAAATATACATTTTAATAAAAAGTTCTGCAATTCTCTCACCAGAACAATCGACAATGGGTAATACTGCCTTATTCAAAAATAACTGAGTACTCAAAACCGTTATAAAGCTTTCAAAACGCACTGGTATATCCTCAATATTACCCATTAGTTTCTGTACTAACATATATAAAAATCACATGACACCTGTAGACCATTTTATGAAGCTGTTAAGTTACTCCAAAAACCACTCAACGTGGTAGACTTAAGATTTGAAAAGCTTCCCCACTGTAACTAACCAAAAGAGTAAACAAGCAAACAAACAAAAAAAAAAATCAAAAGCTTAATTCTACAGTATATCGAAAATACAAGAATCTGATTTGTCCTTACCAGCACAGCAAGATCAGCTTGAGAAGCCCCACCAATCATATTTGGAACAAAGCTCTTATGTCCAGGAGCATCTAGAATAGTGAAGTGTTTCTTCTCAGTTTCAAAATAGGCACGACCCACTTCTACTGTTTTACCTTTGTCTCGTTCTTCTTGGTTTGTGTCTAAGGCCCATGAAAGGTACCTAAAAAAACAACCAACCCAAATATTCTATTTTTGTATCAATTTTTACTAGATTTATGTATGGCGATTTGTTCATCATAAAGTCTTCTTTTTCTGCTCAACTGTTCTCACCACCTCAGCACGACTGAACTGGAGCACTTCCACGACCAATGGTGAGTTCCTATTGCACGTTTTGTGTACACACAGCGAGCTGCAGCTCCCCGCGCCAGCTCTCCTCCACATACCTAGAAGCACACATTTCTAAAGAAGTGATTTTCAGTTACTAAGTTCTCCAAGCACGATCTAACCCCAAATACATTAAACTTTGCCTCAGTTTGAAAAACACCTCTGGATCAAATACAAAACAAGCCCCCTTACTCAGCATAATTAACTAAAAAAAAAAATTAGTTCCCATTTGCACATATTCATAATTATGAGAATTACTATTACAAGTTCTCTTTTATCTGCACATATTAAGCAGAAGTTGGCTATGAAATAGACGCCACCTTTATTCACCCTATCTTTGATATTCTGATCACATCAACCGTTGTCCCCTCCCATTTATACTTTATCCCATCGGCCACTGACAAGTTAGATTGAAGTTAGACAGATGAACTGAAATTTAAAAAAAAAAAATATTATCTGGCTCCTTCAGGTTTTGTGAAAATCGGCGAATAGAGAGGAAAAAAATGAATACTATCACTAAGGAGAAGAAAAGTAGCAATAACTAAACTGAACTGGCTTAACATACCAATATTTTTCACCATTAACAGCAGCTTACAAAGACCTTTAGCTTGTCTTTTGCATTGACTGGATAATGTCTGAGGAGACACTGCTAACTCAGCTGACCAGTGACGAGGGAGGGAGCATCAGGGACTAATCAATACAAAGATGCCCTTTCCCGCTCAAGAGGTTCCTGAGTCAGAGAAAGCACTAAACATCATGAATTATGGATACATAGTCGGTCTTCCCCAGGTAGTAGCTGGTTGTTACTGATCGAGATCTAGATAGCACTCTAGACAGCTTTTGGTTTGTAACTGTATGTGTGCTCCTACGTGTCATAATCCACCACGGCCTGTGTTTCTGTAAGGTTTCAGCCAAGCCAAAGGTCGGGTTTTACCCAGCTAACCAGAGTTAAGCAGGAATTCAGGAGTGGTAGCTGGATGGAAAGTCATTTTTGCACATAGGGCTTTCTAGGGAAAGTAGCATTTCTGACTGAAATGTCAACTCTGCACTACAGGGTAGAATTTTCTGAATCACAAAGTAAAGCTGCTGCAATTTAGAGACTCTCAACACATGAGGTGAGCTAACAAGATCTTCGATAATGACACAGAGGTACATCATACTTTGTTGTGTATCATGACATATTTTAAAGAATAAAAATAGCATTCAAGGAGGCACTTCCTGCAACTCACTCTCTAAAAGAGGAGGGGGAAGGGAAAATCTGTTTTTCATGCTGTCCATAGTTTTTGAGGAAGGTCCTGAAATATTTATCACCGTGGTCAACTCCCAACAGTGGGGTGATGCTTGCTTGATAGAAAGAATGTACGTCACCCTTTCCATCCCCGCCTCTCACATATAAAACAATTAGTTCAGGTCAATGCCCGCCCCTTCAGCATTCCATTGCTGCTCTGCCCCTGAGGAAGTCTTTAGCTGCTCCTTTTCCAGAGCCCTTCGAATACTTATCTTCCTCCACCACAGCCAAAAAATTGGAAGCTTCCAAAAAGAAAAACCAATTTTCCAGGAGTTGTTTGAAAGAGGAAGCAGGCTGCTATATGTGCTGCATATACACAGACGCACACACAAAACCAAAAACCAACCAAAAGACAACAACAAAACCCAAAATAAACAGGAGGCCTGTAAAAAATCCACACATGACAGCAGCCTCTTCTTGTCTGGAGGAAGCTTAAAAACTGCAGACCCTATCTATTTTTGTATTTTTGTATAAAAATGAGTGGCAGCCAAAACTATTCACTCACTCTCTCCTCATGCCTGCCAAACTAACAGCTTTTATCTCTGTCCCTTCGATACCTGTCTGCTGTTTACAGGTGAAAGACATACAGACAGAATGAAGTCAAGAGCAGCTGAGAAAAGTGTCTGCTTTGTACTCCTTTTTACCAACTAGCTTTACCCAAGCATTGCAGTAGCAGAACCTGTTGCCATGTGAATTGCACCATTGCATATAGTTTCAGTTAAAGACGTACTGGAGGAAAATAAGATTCTTCCCCCCACACCTGAAACCCATTCCAGCAGGAGGCCAGTGCTACAGGGACAGACTAAGAAAAGTTTCCCATTTTCATCACAGTGCAAAGAGAAAAGCACACTTATCTTCACTAAGTCCATACCATGTTTCTCTGTTTTTTTCTTTAGCTTCTCTTTCGTATTTTTCAAGTGTTCTTTTGTCAACCATTCCTGTCAAATACCTAAGAAGGGGGGGAAGTGCAATGTTATGTAAGCAGAAACATAGCTCCAAATAGTTAAATACTTATACAATCTCTACAGATTATTTTGAAAAACTGGCACAGCCCGATGTGAGCAGCAGTGGAATTTCTTCTCCACAAAAAGCCACACCGTTATCTGATATGTCAAAGTATACCAGTACCACTTTAGCAGAAGTACGAGGAATGTCTTGTTTTAAGCCTAATCGTAAAATGCTCTGCAGAGGCAAGTTCTGAAAAGGAACTACATCTGTTAAGATTGTTTCTGAGGCTAATCTAATATTTCAAAGTTAAGAAAAAAATGTGCTAGGAGAATTTTTCACACCCCCCTCCCACATTTCTGAACTGCAAAGAAAATTAGTGTTGGTTTCATTCTTTTTAGATAGAATAATGAAAATATTTTAAGAGAGATTTTTAAGTTATGAAAAGAAGTGAGTAGCGTACAGTTTCATTATATTAAAACTTTCCTATTTTTCCCTCAGATATTTCTACCTGATCTTCTAATAACATGAATCTATGTAGTTTATAAGGAAAATTAACGATAACAGCAAATAAAGGGTTAATGACAAAGCTGGTACAAGCACCAGATTTCCTCCCCGTCCCCTCACAACAAAGGGATACTCTGCAAAAATGAAAGACCACAAAAAGCTTTAGGAACATAACACATCGATAGGAGTATTAAGAACAGCCATCTCCTTGTACAAGAATACTGGGACACATCAGATAATAAAATGCTAATTTGCTCTAGTAAGAACTACAAGGTTAAATGTAGCATGACAATTCCAACATTCCAGTTTGGTCAAAACAAAACAAGATGAAAATGCCTAGACAAAGACCTCCCACTTTTGCTGAGAATATTATTTTAAAATCGCAGAAATACTTTGCATCAGCAGGACAGCATTTATTTCTTCATGCACTATTTTCCATTTCTTGTTTTTTTACAAATTAAGATCCAGCTGCATTTATTTACCTTTGTCTCATAAAACAGATACCGTTTCTCACACAGACTTCAAAGATTAGCTATAATAATTTCATATTCTGAAATCAAAATATGCCTGACAGTGACACCAGGGAATATGGATATTAAAATTTTTGTTTAATCTTCATAAAAGGACGAGGTTTAACAAATGGTATAAAGCAGTTTCAACTAGCATTTTAAAATGAAAAACAGTCATGTTCTAAGACAAGAATTAATTTTTTTTATTTAATAATGTATGCTTTCGCATAGTTGTTTCCATTAAGGAAGTGAAACTCCTATAGCTATAAGATCAGATCTGCTGGAATTAAGAAATACCAAAGACAATAAGTAACTAAATTGACAGGGAGTGTAACGTTTTATTATAAAAATATTAATATATGCTGATTAAAGCCACAAGAATATTACTAATTTTACTTAATGTATTTTTAATCCACAAGAACAGCAAGTCTAAAAATTTTATTTAAGTGTCCTTACATTATTTGTCCTCCAATAGTTGACTTGCCAGCATCTAAAAAGAAAAAAAATTAAGTCATTCACCATTTAAACCAAAATCTTAGAAAAAGGAGAAAACAATTATGAATAAGGTAATTAATTTATTTCCAAATACATATTTTATAATTGTAATCTAAGTTTTTTGAAGCATCTCTCAGCTTCCTTTGTTTCCATAACAATTCATTGTCTACTAAATTACACTGAATTTTGAAAATTCTGCTTTCATACATATAAACTTGGCATTATCCATAACAAAAAAACCCTCAGCAAGCAGCAATCCAACAAAAGAGTGGGAAGCTCTTGCAAAAGCCCCTTCCGTGCTTCCTTTCTCCCTTGTCCCTAACGTCTGTAGGCTGCTCTTCAATTTTAGGATGTACCTCTGCCCACTGCCTCTTTACTTTTCCATTCTGAATTTATCCAAAGACTAAGTTATGGTACTTTTAAGGTGGTAAGAGATTGTACAAATGAAAATAGAGAATTTACTGGAAAACTCATGATTCAATAACTCTTCTGTACATCTGACATCACTTAAGATTTTTCTGAAGCTTGTTGAAACTATTCGATGAGGACAGCTTGCTATAAATGCTTTTTTTAACCCTGAAGTACGTTAATCTATTTTTATAGCTCTACAATTTTAAATATTTTGAACAATAATTTTTGAATTTAATAACAATTAATAAGAACCCTCCGAAGATATTTTTTAAAAAAGCAGAAAAGCAGCACTGCTTTGCTATTTTGTTCTTTGGATCATAAACGTCACTTAAGCACTCAATAGAGCAGGTACTTGAGAAATCATGAACACAGACGCTGTTGTGTCCCAGGAGAACACAGAGACTTTATCCTTGGCACTCTACCCCTGAAAGACCTTCTTTAAGTTTTTTAATTTTTCCAGAGCAGTTTCATCAGAATCAACGCGCCTATTAACCTCAAGACAAGGTGAATACACACATCCCTACAAAGAGCAGGATTAACACCTAATCCCTCGAGTTCTAGATAACACATAACACAAAGATCCAATTACTTCACATTTACTTCCAACTTACCTACGTGCCCAATGAATACTACATTTACGTGCTCTTTTTTAGGAGCACCTGGTGGTGCTACAACAGATTTCGGTTTTGGTATTTCCTCCTCTTCTTCCATCATTTCCTGAGTGTTTTCTTCAGAAGGCCCTGCATCCCCTGCGGGACCACCTCCTAGCTCCGCCTCACTTGTTTCTTCTTTGTGGTCCCATGACTCTTCGGGGGACATTTCTGTCTCTCCATTTTCCACTAAAAATTAACCAGTTAGATATATTCAAATAGATAATGAAATTAAAAGCAATGACTACCGAGAAAAGCCCCTGCCCCAAACATCAATCAAAAGACTTCAACTATCCAGTCAGTTAATGTCTTCCTATATAAAAATGGGTAACTGCTGCTTTTTTCTTAAATGGTTATTACTGGGAGATTTTAAACTACCCTGTGTGCTGACATAGGAAAACTATGATTCACAGGAATTAAGACTTCTGTTCTAACAGGGCAACAATTTTGCAAGGAAAAAACAAATCTGAAGATCCGCTCAGACCATCATGCTGGTCTGAATCCACAGACAGACACACGCTACCATATGTTTAGCAAGTAAAGGAGATGGATAATGGTTTAAGTTCTCTCACAAGCCATACAAATAGAAGGAGAAAGATAAAATTTCCAGGTCCTGACTGCTCATATTACTGATCACTTTAATGTTTTTTTGTTAACCGCCATTTCACACATACTAGTGGGACTATTCTGCAATATGAAACTATTTTTTAATAAAGCACTGATGCTTTTTCAGTGTCCAAGTGATCCAACTGGATCTGTCAATGCATACTAGTGTTCAATTACCTCTTTCCTAATCCAAGCATAAAAACACAATGAAAATTAGTGAGGACCAAAAATGCAAAGGCTCAGTAAGGTATTCTTCAGTTTTGTTTCCAATGATTCATCAAAAGCACTATAGTAGTATTTTATAGCACTGTCACAGTGAAATGGAACAATTCTCATCTTACCAACAGATTCTGAAATTTCCATGTTAACAGCAGCATTTGAACCTAGGGGAAGGAGAAAAAAAAAAAAAAGAAAAAAGGAATATTTACCATGATATTTACCATAATATTTACACATATTTACCATGATAGTACCAAGAACAAAGAAAAACGAAGTGCCTAAATTAATAAAAGGATAGTTTGGATGTTTGGGCACTTGCCAATGCTATTTAATATACAGATTCAATTAAAAAAATTTTGGTTCATGCAAGCTTTACGACCTTCAACAAACCACTTGGTCTTTATGTGCCTTGTTCGACTGGCTATAAAATTGTAAATAACCACAGATAACCACACCGCCTTACATAGTATGAGGATAAGGAGAAGGAAGATTGGAAAAGGTTCACAGAGATTTTTAAAAAAGAGATTCTTTGCAATGTTTATTTTTACCGCAAGAAGCATGTTAAAAAAAAAACCCCCCCCCCCCCCCCCCCCCCCGGAAAACAGTACTAAATATAGCCTCCAAGCACAAATACTTCTAAAGAATACTGCCTAAAAGTTGAGAAAATAACACACCAGTTCCAAAAACGGTTCCGTTTCCACCCCCCACCCCCCCCGATGTGGAAGGATGCAAGTTTTCAAGGAAAAAAAATTTTCTATAGATAGTATTTTACCTGCCCATCCTTTTTGGGCATGCTGGCTATTTTAACTGTCAGTATCTACCTGGCATTTAAAAATGTCAAACCAGTTTCAGTGTATCCAGAGAAACAACGCACATGTGGTGTCACAACTGTACAGAACGCTTCTGCCCGCTCCAGCTTACAGCCATACCTACGATGCCTCTGCGCCTCAACTTCATGCAAGCTTCGAGTAGACAATGGAAACAAGCTATTAAGAATAAATTCTTAAGATCTTCTGTAGTTATTAGGGTCAACAGACGACAAACTCATTCATACTCCGGGTAAGTCTGCCAGACCTCTTGAACACCGTCACACTGCCGCATTACTCGGACGGCAATCTCACCAGTCGCGTGCATATCAAAGCCACAGGTATGTTTTTTGGATAGATCACTCAACCTTTTCATGTGCTAAACCATGCCACCAAACTATATGCTGCGGTATAACTAATTATTACACCTACAAGAGTGATGTGTTCCAATTAACAGTCGCACCATTTGATGTTTTGGGACATTACTCCACATGATCAAGAGGCCTTCTATAATTATCCCTAAAACCTTAACCTATTTAGTTTTCTCTTGGTATAAATTCAACTTCATAATTCTTTGAAACAAGTTCATTATCTTACTTTTTTCAGCCACATACCAAATTCTTACCCTCTACTTAGCTGCACTTCAGCTCTCCTTCAGTCCCACTATGAAAACACAGATCCTACAGCATTGCTTGCTCTATCTGCACGGTGGGACTTAAAGGTGAAACAAATTCCCTCAAAAGAACAAGACCACGCAGAGAAGGACCTGATTCTCAGCCTCTCTGCTCTCGCGCTGTTTGCGTGTTCACTGCCTACAAGCCAGAGCAGTGCTGCAAACGCCGGAGCAGGGCCAGAGAGAGAAGCCTGGCGGCAGGGCGAACACGGGTCACGGCCGGCACCCAGCAGCACACGGTGGAGGGGCACAGCAGCGCGGATGGGGACGGCTCCCAGCCCGGCTCCCTGCACTCCTCTGCTGCATCACACACAGCCCCCACCACAGCGTCCCAAAAACACGGGAAGAGAATGATTTAATACAGTAAGTAAAAGCATACGAACAGAATACCTCGAGATTCCTTGTAAGAAATGACAGACTACTCCCCTTTGAGAGCTGGAAAAAGCTCAGCTCAGCGCATTCATGAGTGTGGTAAGCAGGTGGCATGGAATCTAGGTATGTACCCGAAGCCTCCGTTTTGTAACACGTCAGAAGATTGTTGGGATGCATAAACATTTTCATTAGGAGATCATTTCAACGAGCTTTTGACTTCACTCCTGAAGTTTGTCCATCATGACAAATGTATTAAATGACAGTATTTATGCACTTGCCTTGAAACTGAAGCTCTGTAAGTGGTCAAAGAGCTAGTGAATTCCTTAGAAATACACTGTCAGTCAACAGTATTCACAACAAACTCAGTTATTACTTTCTGGTTTGTAACATAGCAAGCATACAGACAGGGAAAAACATTTCTTCACAAATAACAGCGAGGAGGTGGGAAACTTAACCTAAAAAGGTCCATCTGTTCAATTTTGTAGGAGTCTAGCACACAAAAGAATCACTAAGGCAGTTTGTGTATGGATCCTAAACAGTACTAAGGCACACCATCAACGGGCAACGTTCAGGTATGACCACAGCCACTTATCAAGTTCTGGTCACCTCGGTACACAGGCGGCAGACATGCTTTGAAAGAGGACACTGCATCGCATGACGTGTGCACTGTTCCCTCAAAGCAGAAAAGGAATACAAACCACTCTCCAAAAAAGTTCACTGTAGAGAAACCAAGTAAAAAATAAATAAAGAACCTTATTTTCAAAAAGAATAGACTTTAACCAATAAACACCCCCTCCGTTTACGTCTGATAAACAATTTCAGGTTATGTGAGGTTATTTCAGGCACTGGTACACTGCAAACAAATAAACAGGAGAAAAGCCTGACTTTAAAGGGTCAGATTTGTCATTTGCTCTGTGTGGAAATAAACCGACTGCCAGCAGTATGCCTTTAAAACAGTCACCTGCAACACAGCACACAGTCCTACCGCTTCTTAGACCCTTGGGTTGCTGCATTTCGCTCTTTGTCACCTCTTCTCTCCTGTCAGCCCGAGCGCATGCGTAGCTACTGAAGCTCCACAGAAAGAGCTGGTCTGACCAGAAACCGACCTCGCAAAGAACCTACCGGTACCTACCAGTTTTGGGGTGGATCAGCACTCTGCAGCAACATACCGGCTGCGTGGAACAGCACTACTAGTGCAGGGAGGACGGTCAGGCAATCTCAATAATTCAAGGCAAACCACCTTTAAGTTTCAGTTCTGAAACACCTAGGGAACCTTTGGATCACACAAAAGGGAGACGACAATTCTGAATCTAGCTAAGGCTTACTACCTAGGACTCAACACTGCGTAAGGACATGAGAAGAAGTCCAAACTCTGCACTGTCCCTGTGGCAAAATCCAGCAAACGGAAGTAACCTTACTACCTCTGCCCATGAGATAAAGACAGTCATTGTAAAAAAATACCTTTGAAGAATGAGGGAAACTGAGAAAGGTTCTAAGTAGTCCTTGTAACTTATCCTCCTCTCTCCAAAACATTGAAATACATGTGCAAAGTTTTTAATTTTGTGTTTTCTGGAAGTCAGGAAAGTAACTAACAACATTTACAGTTAACATAGTTTACTACTATTGTAAAAACATGACATATGGCAAATTAAACACAAATTAGAAAAATCTGTAACACATTTCAAGTTCAGCTTGAAAACTCTATATCCTCATCTGTGAAAATCATTCAGACAGGAATCTTGTCATATCAGAGGGATTCAAATGTAGTTGGTATGAAATCCAGTTTTAAAGTCAGAACATGCCTTAAATTACACCAAATCTTCAAGTAATGCTTCCAGTCCTTGGATTTACATGCAATGAGCAACAATTAAGATCTTACATAGCATCTTCCGTCCTCTATCCCTCCTTAAACCACAAGTCAAGAACTGTTGTTGCAGCCTTATTCACTCAGGGGGATGAGTGGTTTATCTTTAGTAGTCTGGAACCTCTGAGCCCTAGGACATTTTTTTTTAATATCTTTGTTGTCAATGCCAAAGGCAAAAATGGATACACATGCCGCATTTATCTACTGGTAGGCCATCACACAAGAACATTATGCAATTCAGAGTTTTGTCTGAATGAGGTAAACATTTTTTCTTTTTTTAATGTAAAATTCACTGGACGAGTATGCATGCTCGCAATAAAGAGTCCAAAATTGCACACCTTTTAAAACATGGTGATTGGTATCTTTAAAATACAGCTAACGTCCTAAAGGAATACTGCCAGAATCCACTTTGCCTGCCTCATTCACACAGCATTCTACTACAGCTGATGAGTTTGTTGTGTATTACATCAAGTTTCTTACCCGCATGCATTTTTTGTTGTACAATAACCAGAGCTGCACAGGTAGAACAAATTAAGTTACCGCCCAACTTCTGAAAATATTGCTTTAAAATAGTATAAGCCAGGAACTTCAGTGTTAACAGTTTAGAATGCTTCTACGGAAGCAACAGAAAATGGCTTTACAATTACATTTACACTAGAATGAAACAAGATTTTCACATATAGAACAGGTATAGCTGGTAAACTGGGAATCAATATTAGAAGAACTGCAGTTAAGATACAGCATTAAACTCAAGTGCTAAGCAGTAATGACTACTTCATCTTTATGTGAACTGCAGCCTTTACCAGATGCCCAGAATAAGCTGAGAGATGTCTCCACACAAGGAGACATGGCTCAGCAGCTAACCGACAGCTCCTCGGAAGCCGCTACCTGAGACACGATGCAAATGCCTGCACAGAAGTGATGAGAGGCCGCAATCTGTTGCTCTGCATGGCAGCACTCGCAGCTCCCAGCCCGCTCTGCTGCTGGAGCGCTGGGAACCAAGACAGTACCGGTACCTGACAGCTGAGGTCGACTACGGGGTTAATTAGACGGTTTGCACAACAGAGCACAGAAAGGGCAAAGAGGGAAGAGGGAAATTCAGTTTGAAAGAAGTGTCTTATCTACAAAACTTAGATGGTCTGTATAGCGAGTTTGTTGTTGCTCCCCCACTACAGGCATGAAGAAATTCCTTCACAGGAATTCCTGAAAGGCTGAAGAGTGAAGAAACGCACGATAGGCCCCCTTAGGATTCCCATCACCTTTTTGTACGTGCAGTTTCAATACCCGAGTTCAATACTTATTTACACAACAGCCATATAGTCTCAACAGTTTCCATGAATTACACAACAGATGTTTGCCTATTTTTTGTTCTTTTTTGAAACGAAAGCGTAAAGGGAATTACACCAGAGTAAAAAATAAAGATCAGAGTCAAACACACAGAGCAT